ATAATATTTTTTTTGCACTTTATATTGCTGAAAAGCATGCATTGGGTTATAATGATAGTAATTAGTAGATTTAATGAATGCCTTAATGTTGTACTCAGAGTCCATATACCGTCGTGGAGCTCGACGCTGGAGAAAACTCTACTATGCCAACGGACATGCATTTCAGGCCAAACGTTTTAACAGGGTACAAACATGCTCTTTTTATTTCTGAAACCTGCTATGTTACTTAATTTGTCTGAATTATATGCACATGCCTTCAATATAGTTTATTGTTCCTGTTCCTGTTTTTTCTGTTGTGTACAGCGTGCTCATTGTGCCATCTGCACAGATCGTATCTGGGGCCTGGGCAGGCAGGGATACAAGTGCATAAACTGTAAACTGTTGGTCCATAAGAAATGCCATAAATTGGTCATAGTGGAGTGTGGTAGACAGGTAATACAGGTGAGACATTAGTCCACATGGAATCTGCATGCTTCTTTCACATTTTCTGTTAAATCAATTTAAATATAAAATAGATTAGACATTAGACTTATTGGTAGCTGAAAGTATTACCAAATATGCCAGATATTTAATAAATCGACATGCAAGGGATGGGAAACTTTGGATGTTCAGTTTTAAGAGTATGTGTAGACCTACATGTTAGACATGCAATTTTTGCTAATAACACTATGAATTTTAATCTGTATTTATTTGTGACCTTCGTAATATTTTTCTAGGACCCGATGATTGGAAGAATCGATCCAGGGTCTACTCCATCAGAGCACGCTGATCAAGGTACTATAGACTCTGATCTATATTTGTCAAACATTACACATGCATTTGTCATTATTTATCTATCATGCGTGTTTATTGCATTTTCCTTACTTCTTTGTGCTTGAATAGCAGACTAATGCTTGTATAAAATAAATTTTCAGGAATGAATGCACTTTTGAGATTTTCAATTAAACTTGCAATTAGTTTTCAAAGTGAATTTTCTTTTAAGGCTTTTCATCTGAGATTAAATTATTCTGCCTGGGGTCACATAATAATCAACCTTTCTGTACCTTGCTCAGACTTTTCAAGCATAATTTTCAGTGTTTTTTTGTGGTGTTTTTTGGTCAGAACTTAAATATTAAAGTTTAATCAGCTATACTTTTCTGAACCTGAATTGAAAAATTTCCCTGATTTCCATAATAATCTGGAACAAGAGGTCCTGAATAACTACATAAACATTCTGCCCACAGATCCATTTGCAAAAATCCAAAGTCAAGCAGATAAACTTGCCATGTGTTTTGTTAGCAAAGGCACTAAATAAAAAGTACTTTGTAATGCAGAGATGTTATTGCATACATTGAATCACTAAATTGATTCACTAAGATCTATAGTGGCTCATTGATGCCACTGATTATCATCT